CTACTTTTTTGTCTTTCGTATTATCAAAGCCCTTTCGGATATTCGAGCTTGAGGATACTGAGAAATTGAAATTTGTCACAAAAACTCAGCCGCTTTTTTTAAATTAAGAGCAATCTGTATCCAACTTCGTTGTCAGTGTGCAGTGTTGCTCTTCATGGATCAAGCATGACCTTGTTCTATGATGTATCTCTGGAGCGTAATGAGAGAAACTAGATTATGAAGCATAATGGCAATGTGTGATGATTTATAAGAACATGCACCATGCAATGTCATCACGCCAGCATGTCGAAAGAGAAAATTGCCTGATGAACGAGGAGTTGTGAGGACGAATTAAATACTTTTTGTCCGGTGAATCAAGTCCAAGCATTGGCTAGCCGCAATGAAGATAATGGCTGCAAGGCAACGATTTGATTGTTGCGATTTTCACAACCAAAATACGTGATCTTTTTACAGTGGTTATACTACATTGTGTTTATTTGTACTTTGCAATCGGCATGTATATGGTAATATCAGATAGAGATGATTCTCACTGTTTTGATAGGGAAATATGTTCAAGCTTTCTTTTCAAAATGATACATTCTACAACAGACACCAGGAACTCATAACAATAATATAAAAGTATTACGTAATGCATCTTACCTAGACTCTAGCATTGTTTAGCAATTAGAACTATCTCTAAAAATGTCACACAACTATTCGTTTTGCGTTTCGTTCTTCTAAAACTGAACTCGGAACTACCTCTACATATGATCGAGGAGGACATCGGCAATATCCAGCGTCAATACCATTTACACCCTGCTCACCTTGTTCTCCACCTTCGGCGTTTAGCCCTGGGAGACCTGTTCTCCCTTGAGGTCCTGGCACACCAGGCAGCCCGGGTTTTCCAGGCGTTCCCGGAAGACCTGGTATACCAGGCGCTCCTTCAGGTCCTGGGACACCTGGTGGTCCACGCAAACCTCCGTTACTTCTAGACACATTTCTACCCTGTGCACCTGGTTCTCCATCAATTCCAGGATCTCCTGCGGAGCCAGCATCACCGGGCGGTCCGTAGCCACCTTGCATCCCATCTCGCCCTGGCATACCAGAAAGACCTTGGAGTCCGTTTGCTCCAGGTAACCCTGGAGGACCATCCGGACCTTGTACACCACGTGGTCCCGCAGGGCATACGTAACAGAGTAAATCGGCGGTCTTTTGCTGCGGATAGGTTGTGGCGCCATCGACTCCGGGCACTCCAGCAACACCCGGCTCACCATCTTCACCTCTCAATCCTGGGATTCCTGCCGGTCCAGCAGGACCTGGCGGACACGTCTCTGGCTGTTGGGCACACTTGCATAATACTGCATCGATCTCTCTTCTATGTCGTTCTGACTCGCGAAAAAATGGTCTGTCTTGCATTGAATCCATTATGGTAGTCCATGCAATATCTGCTGTTACCTGAAACTTTGACACTTGTTACTTGCTACTTTGAAAAAATCATACATCAAGTCATTTGTAATCAATACGTGTACTGCGCGTTGCTCATGATGTTGTGCTAACAGCTTACCCATATCAAAAAATTTCGCTAAATGCTCAAATTCCATATTGAACTGCGAATGACCCGACCGAAATTACAAAAAAACGGTAAGCTCGCCTTGAAGTCATTGACGTCCAATAAAAATTCGTCGTGTAACAGGGTGACATCGTTGTAGAGCTTTCCAATAAAACCGGTAGTGAATACAATTAACATTGAAGAAACAAAACAGACTGCATGCAAGAATGTACGGTCTTTCTCGCCCATGTCACATCTCCGACACGATTGATGCCTTTATATAGACTTAACGACATTGAGCAATTAGCATCCAGCAACCTGAAACTATGATTCAGGTGAGAATCCTCAAAAACAATTAATTAGCGTAATCTAGCTTCTACGGTGACAGTGAGAAGCGACAACTCGCAATTGCCCAAAAAATGCACTGAATGAGCTGTGCCACTTTGATTAATGAGATGTTCGGAAACTTGCACAAAACTTATGTATAATCTGAAGACCAGAACAGTACAGTTACAGAGTGCAAGTTCGTTTCAAGCGACGGGTTTCGCAATAAGTGGATTAGCGAACCAAATTGGCAAATGGGTGTTCGCCTCTAGCAACATAGGTGCAGGTAATTACGTTTGTTGCGTAATTGTCTACAGCCGGATGAATATCACTCTGAAAACTCTTAGGGTCTGAGGGTATGTGCCAGTCAGGACATCACTATATATAATGTAAACTTTGGAAAGCACATGTTTTCCTAGCACTTTAAAAGGTAACCGTTTCTGTCTTGTGATCTGTGTTTCTCTGCATGCTTGATAATGCGCGTTTTCTATGCGATTTCTAAACAGCGGTAAATTATCAGGTTGCCCTTGGTTTTCGGTCGCATGATTCCATGATTTGGTTCGGTTGTTCCATCCGTTTTTTTCTAAATGGGCTCAAACTACCATTCGACAGAGCGATGCAAGCCCTACAAGTTGGCAACTTTGCTTTTCACCTGCTCTAATCCACCTTGAGTTTCAAGCAGAGCCCGGCACAGATCGTTTGGAAGCGAGCTGGACCTCGTTTCCGGAACGAAAAGCAAAGGGGATATCGTTTTAACGGAGTCCGGGATCGAGCACCAAGGATGAGCGCCACCTAGTCGAACACAAGCTTTGCAAACAGGTTATTACATGAT